TCCTAACTGTTCCTGGATTACTTTTAACTTGTCACGAGCCAATTGAGAGTGGTTAAAATGACCTACAATTCTCTTTGTAATGCTTATAGTATCCAAAACAGAACGCTGTGTATAAAGCATGCCTCATAAATAATGTTAGCATCTTTCATAGCTTTTTTCATATTGGCGGCATTGTCAGCAATTGCTATTTGAATCTTACTTTGAATCAACCAATAGTTAAATAGATCTGCCAAATTTCAACAATGGCCGTACCCGTATGACTGCCCTTGAATGATTTAATAGCTAAAACAAAGGAGTTCCTAGAAGATGATCCATCAAACCAATGGGCATGTGGGTACATTACGTCAGAATAAGTGTGACATTCCGAAAGAAATGAAAAGCCTCAAAAGATCGTGTATTAACGGAAATGAATGAGTTATTATTGTACTGATTAGTCCAAATATCCGTTGTAAAGGCAATGCTTTGGCATGTAGTCTTTGAAACCTAGTGTCATTCACAATTGTAAACGGTTGGTTATCAATGGCAATCATCTCACCAATCAAATAGTGATACCCTTTCGCTTTCACTCCATTAATATCCCACATTCTGAAATTATTCACAAATTCATCAACAGAGAGGTGTGATAATGACGCACTATAACTAGATGCTCTCGTTTCTTGATTTTGGCCCTGATCAAGCAAATCTAGATAAAAAAGAAGTCAAAAAAGTTCTCTAGTATTATTAGAAATATTATTTTTCAAATTTATTGTTAAAGTACATTCTAAAGTCATGAAAATAAATTAAATCAGTATTAATTATAAATAATATAATTATTAATTTGCTTAATCTTTTTTTTATTTTTCTATCTTTAAATGCAATAGTAATGAATAAATACTATAATTAACATTGGGCAACTAAAATATCGGTATCGGCTGATTATTCTTATCGGCAAAAAGAACCTGTATCGGCCGATCACTAATTCTTATACAGTGTCTCACGTGACTGGTTCGTTAGAACGTTTTCAGGTTTCACTATTCGTAGAGGTTTGAAACTTTGATAGCATGGGTTGTTCATTCGGAACTTTCGATCTAAAATATTTTCAAGATGGCCGTCACTTCCGGCCTATCGGAAGTAGACCTCAAATTCATTATTTTAAATGGTATGTTTTTATTACACCTTTTAATTTGGTACCTAGCGTTTTTCTTTTTCGAGTTATTTTGGTTTTAAGCTATTGTTGACAAATTTCACCATGCCCTTTAAAATCCCATATCTCAGCCACCGTTCATTCAAAAAAGCTCTAAATTGGCACGATTGCTCTTCAGATACTGTCAAATAGATTGTCATTTGTTGTATCAGAGTATCTTATATATAAGATGGTCAAAAATTGAATTACTGTTTCTCCATATTCAATGACGAGAAAGTAGAAAATTTTAAATGGAGCACCCATATTTTTTAACCTATCCGAACGGGAATTAATTCTCTACAAATGATCTATAAACATTCCTATACTTATTTACTGTAGTTTTTCTCATATTGGAAAATGAATGAACGTTGGCTGGGATTTGGGGTTACAAAGAACATGGTGAAATTTGCAAAAAAAAACTTAAAATCAAAATAACTCGAAAAACGCTAGGTACCAATAACTTTTATGAAACTCAACATATTTTTTTACCTACAATCAAAAGGTGTAACAAAAACTATAGTAAAACTATATTCCATTTAATACAACGAAGTTACTTTTGTTAGACCGGAAGTGGCAGCCATCTTGAAAATATTTTAGTTCGAAAGTTCCGAATGGACAACCCATGCTACCAAAATTTCATAACTGTACGAATAGTGGAACCTAAAAAAGGTCTAATGAACCAGTTACGTGAGACACCTGTATGTAATAAAATTAAGCTGAACGTTATATCTAAAACTAAGTTAAAACTAGTTCTGGTACTAAAAGTTTGGTCGGTATCTATGTTCTTAACAGTAAGATCTTCACCAAATAAATAGTCAGAGGTGAGTGTTTCACCGCTCTCATTATTGTTGGTGCTGGGCCACTAGAATGGAGAATCTTGCCAAGTATCTTACCCAGACCACTAGCTTTTTCTATATTGACTGGTCGCGGTTTCTGGATGTAAACTATAGCAATTCGCTCTTTCCCCAAAGAGTTGCGAAAGACTGCGAAAATGCAGTCTACTTTTTTACTTAGCAAGGTAAAATCTACTTATCCCCCAACTAAGATTTACTGCCTGTAAAGTTGATGGGATAACTTTTCTTATCCCACCGTGTCTCCTACTGAAAACTCTGACCGCCTTTCTTCTACCCGAGTGAGTAGAACGAGTGTTTGTTATTGACTGTGGCGATCTCTGCATTTTCAGCAGCCATCGTTAATGGTAACAGAAAATTTCCTGAAAAAAGACAGTTTTTCCTTTTTTATCAGGAAGTGCGAATTACTCTCTCGTATTCTTCAACTAAAAATGTATGCTACCAAACCCGAAGTATGGGCGCCAACGCATATCTTCCAGGGCTTTTATAAACACGTCGTCATGGTTAGAGATCAATATTTGTCCCGTTCTAGACTTAGTATGGTTTAGCGCCGTCCACTCCACCGTTGATAAAGAGTTATTCGTTTCCAGACAGAATAACGCCGTATCTTTGAAGAGAGAAAAATTTTTTTCATCGCTAAGGATATACATCGCACAGGTATGCCGATTCGAGAACAATAAGCCAACCTAATTGTGGCGGAATTGGTCTATCCGGTTGCATTTTATTCAATTTTCCATCCCCTTTGGTACTGTATCCTGGTCCTTTTACGAGTGCAGAACAACTTCTCCTCATACTAAGATTTACAAAGAGAAGAGATCTAAGATGCGACCCAACTAACTGTCTGGATAATGTTTATAGATGCAGAATTGTGCTCCACTTCATTTAGGTCCTCTAAATAGTTGAGAATGCCCCCCATGGCTGGGATTTGTTTTTGTTTTCGATTTCTTAGAATAACTACGAGTCAGGAAGAAATAAAGAGTCCATCAAACACTGGGGTTCATCCTTCTGCCAAGGGACACCACCAATATAGTGTAAAGTCCTAGTCATAATCTATCATCTACAGTTTGGGAGTTTTTTGAGATTGTTTTTAGCCAACCTAATTGCAGCGTAATTGGTCCATCCGGTTGAATTTCAGCCAATTTTACATCCCTTTCGTTACTGTATCTGTCTGTCCTTTTACGAGTACAAAACAGCTTCTCCTCATACTAAGATTTACAAAGAGAAGAAATCTAAGATGCGTATCAAGTAACAATCTGGATAATGTTTCTAGTTTCTAGAGGATTGTGCCTGCATTTCATTTAGGTTCTCTAAATTGTCGAGAATGCCTCCATGGTTAGGGTTTGTTTTTGTTTTCGATTTCTTAGAATAACTACGAGTCAGGAAGGAATAAAGAGTCCATCAAACATGGACTCCATCCTTCTGCCAAGTGACACCATCATTACAGCGCAAAGTCCTAGGCATAAGCTATCATCTACAGTTTGGGAGTTTTTATGAAATTGTTTCCTCTTAATCGGTATCGAGGGTCGGTGCCTGGCATAAACCTGTCTTTCCTAATGTACATGAGAACTGTTGATGGACCTGTTTATCGTCTGATAAGTCTAGATCCAACAGTTTTGGGATGGCCCACGGTCATAAACAAGTGTCTTGAAACCGCATGCACTAGAACAAGTTGAACAAGCTCACCTAGGGTAATGACACAGGAAATTCAAATACTGATCTTTTTCGATTCATTTTGCAAGACAATTTTCTTTTACAACTCAACTAGCAATGGCGTAAAGCACTCTTCTCGGTTTCATATTTTTCGTTAAGTTGACAAGATCAGCTTCTTTGCACAATTCTCTTCAAGAATACTTGTAATGCTATAAGAATACTTTCTATAATTTATTGAATAACCCTTGAAATAAATTTTTTAAATTAATCAATAATTCCTGGTTTATTGCATCAGTTAAAATAAAATTAATCTTTACACGTGTAGCCTTTGTTATTACATTAATAAATTCAACTGATTTGTTGATTAAAACTTAATCCATCAGATTTTATTTATCAGTTTTTTTTTCAAAGTTCGGAGTCTTTACACAATTCCAGTTGAATCATCTCTTACAATGTAAAAAGTAAACTATGTGTTAGTTGTGTACAATCACGTTGATGTTAAAAGTTTAATAAAAGTCCAAACCACACGACATAAAAAAAATTCAAAACTAAAATTAGTCACGCAAATTTCCCTGCGTACTTTTTAAGTGTTTCTCCGGCAATTATTGCTGAAAATTACTGATGATCATTTATATTCTAATCAAGTTGTTGTTAATAGAGTAACAAAATATCGTCGTTTTTGGCGAGGGAATTTGTTGTTTTCGAACGCGACATAAACGAATAGTACCGTGTACTGCCAACACGCATACACGAGAATTGGAATGAAATGTTATAATATCGCCACATTTTAAACAAAACGTTAAAGTGACATAAGTGAGACGGTGAAATGTTTCCATGGAGAAAATCTTCAAAAAAAGAAATTTTTATCGAAAAACGTTTTCGAGAAAAACCTAGAAGTTTATCTTTAGATGCTAGATCATTGGAATTAACTGGAATCAGATTAATACAACAGGTAATTTAATAAAACTTTTATTCGTTGGTATTTATTTGTTTTACGATTGTGAGAATGTGAAATTGATGATACTTGAGTGTATTTTTAATTGGTTTTAAATTCCAACACTGTCATCTAATATATTACTTTAGTAACAGGAGAAAAACAATAGCGTATCGAAAACAAACTAATTACCCATGCGCTTCTGTTTGTAACAAGGCCACTCTTGGATCCCCTATTGGATGGCATCATTTATTTACATTGCTGATGTCAATTGAAAAATTGTTAGAGGAGGTCATAGGTGGACCTCAAAATAGGGAAATGAAACATTTAGAATATTATTAAATAATCAACAATGTATTTTTATCCATGCAAATTTTATTAAAATGTTTTTATTTATTTTCAGAGAGCTTCACACCAATTCAGCAATTCAAGTAAGTTTTATTATTATTTCTTAAAATTATTTTAAAACAATCAAACTAAAACCACGTGTTATTTAAGATTATTTAACCGGATTAATCATGAGGTTTTAATTAAACCTTGTGTCGGTATAAAAGACATCTAGATTATAAACGGCGCTATATACGACTAGTACCGTTAGATGGCGCTATCCAATCAATGAACTTTTATGTAAAGCTATTCCCATATTTTTATTGATTCCAATGTTTAATCTTTTAACTGTATTTAAATTGGTTGTTTTCATTTTACGTCATTATAAATATTCATTTAATTGCGAAATTGTTGAGATAATTATCTTAATCGTCGGCAGTAAATTATTGGAAAGATATAATGTAAAAATATCTAGGAGAGTGGAAATACCAACGATTTGCTTAAATTTTTTTTTGCCGACGAAAAAATCGTAAAAAGTGCAACTTGTCTATGTACAAATTGAAAACTTATGCTGCTAATAAGTTAGGTTGAATAAGTTTTGGCTCTGATTTCTAAGACGCAAAACTTTTTGAAGTCGCCAAAATTGAATAAATAATGTATTGTTTTCATTATTAACGAGTTAAGTTTGTTGATACACTTCATTCTTATTTATGTCCAAGGCAAAATTAAATTTTTTTTAAGTTTTTCATCAAAATTCGTAACAAACTAAAAATACAATCATGATGTATTACCACCAAAGTGGTATCTGTCAATACCACTTTGGTGTCTTTTTGGAGTTTTTAGCGCACTGTCCTCATTACTATTTAACAATAGTCGATGGCACAGTTTTCATTGACCCAAGCATTTTCCATCTTACTGACCTACGCCAACGTCGATAGTACTCCTATCTCACTTCACGTTTCAACCCTTTGCAAGTGTAGTACACCCTCAACCCCTGTACACAAATTTGGCCCATGTTTTCAAGGTCGGTTCAGATGCGCACGCGCCTTCTGATGCCGGTTCGACCGCACTTCTAGTTGCTCGCTTGGAATGATTGTATGTCGTGTGCGTTGTGCTTAGGTTCGCACGTTGTCGAGAGCGTCGTCTGCCGACGTCCTCATTGTCGTTATAGTTTATTGAATCAACTATTACTTTTTAGACGAGGGGATGAATTAAAAACTATAAAAAGTAATGTGTAAAAGAAGAAGGATCTGTTTAATTTAAGGCTGGTTCTTAACAGAACTTATTAGTGTTCGTTTATGTGTTGTGTATAGAATAAATCGGGGGGTAAACCGCGTGGTTTTATGAACATAAACTTTTTTTGATGTAAATATATGAAACAATTTAAGTTTTTTTTTGATTTAATCATTTTAATTTTGTTAATTGGAGTTGAACTTAAGGTAAGTGTATTTAACTTTTAATCGTTGTCATAAAAAGTTGTTCAGAATTGCCAGATTTGTTTTTTTTTTTAAATTCATACAATCGTGTGTGTGGATGTGTGTACGGAATAATAATAAACTCTTCGCTGGTTTTCAGTGATAAAGCTTTATCTACGACTCAGGATTTTATAAAGTTTGAGGCTCTGGTTGTGGTCTAACTCAATTAGAAAGAAAAGTTGAAACAATTAGTACCAATTAATCTTTATTACAAGGAGAAATTCATCATTTCATTTCAAAGGATTTTTACTGCGCAATAATCCTCCTACTTGATTTGTAAGAATTCGACAGGTATTATTTCAAGGTAGTAATTTATTGAAGCAACATATTTAAGTATTTTAATTAAATATTGCTGCAGATTTCAAAACGAAACTATGAAAATTATTCTAATCTATTTAATTTTCACGCCAACAAAAAATTTCAATTTTTGTCAAAATTAATTTCAGCATAGTAGTTGTGAATTGTAAGGTGATTGGGTCATATCGATTTATTTGGTGGTTGGTTGGGTGTTGAATTTAAGTACTTTATGCAAGCGTTCCCAAAATCTATATCTGTAAACAAAGTTACTTTGTTTAGTTACTTTTAAAGTAACTAACTTTTAAAGCTGTCTCCATAAGGAGACTAAAATTCAAGGGCACCGCTAGCCAGTGGGCCAGGGGGGCAGCACAAAAAACTGAAAAAAAAAACACCAAATTATTTAAAACATAATTTTCGTGGCTTCTTCGCAAATTGGTCAACCAGATTATTAATAAAACTATCAAGTTCTCAAAAATGTGCTTCCTATACACACTCATCATGGGAAGACCATTGAGACGACATTCTGCCATAGTGCTTCTAAGCCAGGTTTTATTGTCCTCAAGCTGCTAAAAGATCGTTCAGCTAAAAGTAACCAAAATTATAAAGGCTTTTCTCATTTCAGGGAAAAAAATGTCGGCATCTTTTATGACATCCACAACACTTAATTCTTTTGAGTCAGATTTATCTTGCCATAGTTTTTCCATAGTTCGATTTCGTTGTTGATATTTGATAAATTGTAAAATTGAGAAAAGACTTCACCAGCTTCTGCGAGGACATGTCTCTTCAAGGGACATGTCTAACATTTGAGCCGGGTGTAATTTAGATAAGGAAATTGACGGGGCGTTTTCTTCAGAAAAGCGAACTTCAAGATAATTAATAATCGAGTATGGTAATATTAAAGACCTCCGCCAGAATTCTGAAGGGTTTGCTACAGGGTGGTTGTTCTGATGTTGTTGTCTCTCAACAATACGGGGCACGGACTTCATGTCTTCTCCCAGTCCAAGTTTTTCTGCAACGATAGTAGCGTATCTAATAATTCCATTTGTGACGTTTTCTGGACCGTCACGGTGGTTTTCTATAAATTCCAAAAGGCGGCTAATGTGCTGGGATGCCTTAACTGCATTCAAAGCTACGTATTGGAGCACGTTTACCACAGGTTCCATCATAGCCGAGTATTTGGCTATCAAAATAAAGCTGAGAATAAACGAAACTCTAGAAGCTGCTGCATGGAGCTGATAAGTATTTTTTCTAGTCGCATTATTTATTCTTATTTTCTTCCCGTGACGAGGTTTCAAAGGCCTCCATTATAATAGGAAAATTCTCATTAAAAACAATAATATTTTTGTGTTTCTCGCTCCACCTTGTTTCGCAAAGCTTGGAAATGTATGGTATCAATTTGCGTCTCAAAACTGATTCTTGAAAAAATGTAATAATATCTTTGATGGTACCTTCCTTTGATGAAAGCACAAAGCTTTTTTATATTTTCTGCGTAGGATTGCTTGCACACCACCTTCTTTCCCGGACATCGTCGAACAACTGCCAAATCCTAAACCAACACATTTGTCCGGATCAAGATCTTCTTCTACCGAAAACTCATCTGTTGCTTTTGCAATACATTTCGCATCCAAAGCATCAAGCTTGACGAATCCGAGGAATACTTCTTGAACTTCCTTGGTTTCCTGATCAAAATATGGCATCCCAATCGATAGTTGTTCAGTACTCGAGATGTATATTTATTGTGTTTTAATTTTTTTTTTTTCGAATCTGCTTCTAGGGGGCGGGCAGTGGCCCTCTCTGTCCCTCTCTGACGACGCCCTTGCTAAAATCTCATGACAAATGTATCTTACAAGTAACACTAGGGAAGTGCATACAAGTAGTGTATTGAAAAATATTCGACACGTATTTTGTCATTTCTGCCCGATCGCCGTTTTAAGGATAGAAATCACCCTCTCCGATTTTGGAGATTATTTTACGAATTATTTTTACGATTGTTGCGAAATCATACCATTAGGGGTTTTAGGAGTCGCTGATGACGAATCTGATGTCCGTTTTCGAAAATTCAGAATGGGGGGCGCATTTCTTTAAACATTGTACACCCTTGTTAAAAACAACAACAAATGATAATTTTAAGGTGGATTTCTAGGAAACGGTTAATATCAAAAACTACCTCTACCAGTAACGAATCATGGAAATTCTTGTAAAAACTTTGTTAACAACAAAGCAGACAATATTGCCGTATTTGCAACAAAATTAGGCAAATTAACATACGATCTTGCCATTAATTGGTTCAAACACGTTTTTTTACCAGACACCCGTGAAAACTCTGTTTTTTTGTTAGATTCTTGAACTGGCCAGACAGAAAAAAAAAATTGCTAATATTGATAAACTTCGCTAGTGTTGACTCTGTGTTCATCGTGTAAATGTTGAATTCAAGTGTGAATTTTATAAAAAACTACACAATTTGAAACGATGAAAGTGATAAATTAATTTATTTCTGTGCTACCAATATGTTGGTCTTCATCAGACACTTCTAAAACGGATGTACAAAGTTTGTTAGTTATGATATATTAAATGGAGAGTTGAAAAAACGCGTAACATCGTAAAGCAGCAATGGAGACAGCAAATTGTTAATTCAGAATATTAAGCTGATGATTTCACGAGATGCAATCGATCGGAGCAACATGTACTAAATAACCCTCTGGGTGGCAGTATAAAGATGTAGTCATGTAAAAACAGTCAGGTAGGGAATAAGAACAGACAAAAACAAAAAGGAAAGTCAATAAATTCCAAATTTTAAAATAAAAACATCCAAATTTTTACGATTGCCGCTGGAATAACTGGATCTATTCAGCCGCTAAACATTTATACTTTTAGGTCTTGGAAATTTTTTTTAGTCAATTTTCTGCCATTGTTATGCTGTATAATTAAGATATAAATCCATAAACATCCTCAAAATACAGTCTTTAATACTGCTGTTTCAAAAACTGCATTAACTTGTGTGAACTCTGCTGATATTGCAATAATTAAATGTTGTTAGTGTTTGACATCAATATATAAATATTATACATGCAGCACTTCTTTACGGTAACAAACGACAACTCTCCACATTACTATATTAATTTTAAAGTATAGGTCAAAAAGCACCCCGATTCGTGAGAGGCAAGGCGACTCATGTTCAAAAAGCACCCCATTATAATGAGAACACAGACTACAAATGACGCAGACTACAAATTTCAATGTATGTGTTGGAACTTTTGGACGAATTTCTGATTGATTTAATGGATGCTCCTTGTCAAAGAAACTTGCTAATGATAGTTTCAAATTTCCAAAAC